TATGTATGTTCTGAATGTATGTTGTGGCTTAATACAAACAGCTGGATGTCTTGTCTTTCCTTTCCTGATACTTTGGACTTGCTTGTGGCATGGGCACCGAAATTTCTATCATTGTTTGAAAGAGAACAGGAACCAAGTACTAACCAAGTTCTTAGTAGATAGATGGGATATTATTAATGTATTATGGTTTAAATCTACTGAAAATTATTACAGTAATATAAAATACTGTACAATTTCATAAAAATTAGTTAATTTATTTCATCATTAAAATGTATCATATCTATTTCATTGTTTACATAGCCAAAACTGAAGGTAAATTTAGCAAATTGGCTCTATTATACAGGCCTAAAATTTATAAAACATTTTATTCCTAATCATTGTATTATGTGTAATGTAGACAATACTTATATACAAATATTCTGAAATAAACCTGTTTTCCTTTCTCTCTTGAAACAAAATATAGAAGAGAAATAAGAATATTGCATGGTCTCTTCCATATTCATATATTAACTTCAAATTTTTTTCTGTTTATCTTGGGCTGCAAGAAGAAATAAGGACTTGTTAAAAGTGGGGATAGTAGATTATAGTAAAGATGAAAGCAGGTTGGTGGAACCTTGAGGTGGCCTGAAGGGGTGTTTAAAAATTAGTGTCATAAGGAAATCAGCGTAACTTAAAGGAAGGGTCTTTAAAAACTTATGCTGAAGCTTCTGTTTATCAAACATGTTAAAAAATATTGTAGGGCATAGAATAGAGTCAAAAAAAGGCAAGAATACTTGGAGTTCATGCATTAAAGAGGCAAGTTGGAAGAGGAGAAAGAACAGTGGGTTTTAACCAAAATTAAGAGTTTTTGTTTTGTTTTGGTTTGGTTTGGTTTTTCGAGATAGGGTTTCTCTGTATTGTTTTGGAAGCTGTCCTGGAACTCGCTCTGTAGACCAGGCAGGCCTCGAACTCACAGCGATCCATCTGCCTCTGCCTCCCAAGTGCTGGGATTAAAGTTGTGTGCCACCAACGTCCAGCTCCAAAATTATGAGTATTATGGAAACTTACTGACTAGTAAGATAATTTCAAAATACATCTTAAAGGGGTTTGAAAAAAATTACCCTGCGAAGATGGACAATTTTCCTCCCAGAATGCATGGATTGTTCAATTGCAGAGCAAGGAGTTCTTGGTAAGGTACACTTCAGAAGTCTCTAAGTAACACAGGCTATTGGCATTGCCCTTATCAACAATAACATCATTGTAAGACCTCATTGCTGAAGATATAACATCTTTTAGGCATATGTCTTAGAGATATTAATTTCAACTGAAGAGGAAACTATACCCTGAGAGGTAGCTCACAAGCTACTCTATGGGACGCTAGGAATGAAAAACAAAACACAACACATAAACAATGGTTTGATCCCAAACTAAACCATCCATGGTAGTAAACTGACCAGTCTGGCAAGTTCTGCTCATTTCTGCAATAGTGACAGGATTGCTAAGGGGAAACTAGCAGTTTTCTCATTATATTTGAAGCCTGTTCCACAGGAAGCAATTTTAAGCAGGCACTCCAATAACAGTTGAACCCCATGACAGGAGGTCATAGGCTCTAGGATAGTATTTGCTATTATTATTTTGCTAGGTGTTCATGTTCTCAAGTGTTCTTTTAAATATTATAGTCCAACCGTTGACCTGGGCTTCCCTGATCTCCAGTCAGATGAGCTTCTTTTTGTAGTGGTGAGGGATCAAAGGAGAGGTGTTTAAATGGTTAACTTTCTGAAAATGAAAGAGTGGGTGCACAGTATTAAATTATGTATTTTTATCATATCTGTAAGGCAAAGGAACAATTGGGAATATAAGATCAACAAAAGAATGCGGAGTCCTATGAAATGGTGTCTCTCGTTGTGGCGTGAATATCCTAGTCATGAGCTTACATCCTCTGCGGTTACCTGTTTAAGACCTATATAAGATCAAGACAATACAATTTCATCTAGAATATTTGCCAGCCCCCATCCCTAACTTAAATTTAAAAAAGATCCACTGGCAGGTGTCTGCTGCTCATGAAGAGACTAATTCTTTTATTATGGGGTGGATGTGTTTCCCATGATCATGTGTATGGCCCCAGACCTATGCATGTGTCAACTCTAATTACCCGCAACTATTAACATTGCTAATTTGTGACAGATGCTCACACATGAGTAACAGTAGTTGGACTCAGAGGGTCATGAAGGCAGAAGAAGAGTTTGAGAAAGAGAAATGAAATTGGCAGGAGGACTTGTTGAGGGTGATGTATAAGTGAGTGTGGGAAGGTGGACATGAACATATTTCAATGTAAATGTGTATGAAATCTTAAAGAAATGTTTTAGAAGATAAGGCAACATTATATGTTTTATATATAGGATAACGTATGTGAATGAGATTAATGTTTTAGCTTTTGTTTTATCTTATTGTAACATAGCTTATAGTATTATTATCCCTTAGGAGTCTGCTTGTTTTTAAATAAGAGACTAAAAGTGAGTGGATCTGGATGAGAGGAGAAGTAATGAGGAACGGGTAGGAGAAGAGGGAGGGTAAAAACCTAATCAGGTTACATTATGCGAATAATAATCCATTTTCAATAAAAGGGAGAAAAATGGAAACACCAAAAAGAAAAAAAAATCAAGTAACTACAAATGATATTTTCATCCGAACATAGTAAAATATTTTTAATTTATTTCCATTAAACGAAGTCTTTAAAAAACTTACATAGAGGTCTCAATTTAAAATCCTAATGTATTTTCAAAATTCCACACCCTGTAACTCTATCTGTGGCATGCCTGTCCAGACAGACACTTCTATTTGTTGCTGGTAAAGGTTGAAATACTGTAGCCTATAAGCAGGAAGATCAACAGAGATACACCAAAATTTTGTTAATTTTTGAATCTGAATCCTACCTCAGAAAGATATTTATGGACACATACATTAAAATGTGTCTACACATAATAGTCATTGCATAATTTCACACACCACCGCAAAACAGAAAACATGAGTTACTTCGGGCTTCTAGAATTCATATGAGAGTTGCAGGGACAGCAGTGAAAAAGTCATTGACCTCTTAGTGTCTCATTTGTTGAATAATACAGCATTCACTAGAGATGTTGTTGTTTTCATCATTTCCATTAACTGCCCTAACTATTGACATTACTACAAAGCTGTGGGATAGATCCCTCATATAAAGATAAATATCTAAAGACCCTCTTGCATGCATTCCTTGCATCCAAAGACTGACTCAGAGCTTAGTAATACTTTCTGTAAATAACAATATTGAACATTTTCAAGCTTGTTACCTTTTGATGTGCAGCTACTCAATTCTGCCATCATTGCATCTAAATAGCCATAGATAATGCTCTTGGGTATATAATTGATCTCATCCTTTCTGGTCATCCTTTACCCGTGTACTTTTCCATTAAAACACGAACAATTGGAAGGTTGCACCATGAGCCTTCAGCCCTGCTTACCACTTAGAAGATTTCAACCATAAGTCAATGGCCACCAAGTCCAAGAAAGTAGCTTAAAATATCCTTTCAATGAGACATCATCTTTCTTCACTATACATATGCACAAGACAAAGTGAAAATTAGCCTTACTCTTTCCTTCCCTCTTCTAGACAATTTTATTATTTTCATATTTATTTAATGACACATATGTATTAATATGTAATAAAATAAAAGTTAAATATATAAAATATCTTTATATTGTTTTGCCATTAAAGAACCAAATTTTTCTGTTTCCTTTGTTTTGCTTCCATTTCAAAACCTAAAGGATTATAAAAAATTAGAAGCTTCTAACAAATAAATTATTTGCAAACTACTATGCTGTATTTTAGTGTTCATACATTTGTCATGTCACAGAATACATTTCAGGATATAAACACAAAGTGCAGATAGATCATTTGCTTCGCTTTGGTATGTGTATGTGAGTTAATATTGTAGAATTGTTTCAGATCTTTTTCTGTGTTCTGTATACTGACCTCTCAGCTTCTCTCTACTACAGATAGCACAGCTTCTGACAAATCCCTGATGGGCCATAACATTGCATGTGATTCTGCACAGCCTGAATGCAAGGGAGGTACCATGGTCTGCATCAAGAACTTTTTTTAAGCAGTAGTGATAAAACAAAAATAAATAGTCACTCAGGGAAATGGAAGGAGCTGAGCCTGCAGTCAGCGATTCAGCTTCTGTGCTAGCTGTTTGTCTGATGGGTTTTGAGCAGATGCAAGTGCAGCTGCTTTCTCAAATCAGCAATTAATCAGAATTAAGCTTTCCCACTGCATTTTCTGTTCTAGAACTGAAGTGTTGCATGTTTAATCTGCCCCTTATAATGAACTTGTGGTTTCCTCAAAATGTTGACATGCTACTCTCTTTTTAAGAAAAGGAAAATTGATCTTATATTATTAATAATTTGCTGGCTACATTCTTTTTGTGAGTTTTATCATCATTTCAAACATATTTAACCTATATAGAAAATATATGCAGGTATATTTTAAAATTATTGACAGCTATTAGACAATAAGTTCATGTAACTTAAAAATTCTGATATGAGGGTATATCTTAGCAAATGAAACAAATATTAAATATTAGAAGGTGAAGTATTATTTTAACACCATGTTCATGAGTCAGAAACAAATAAAGTACCAGTCAATAGCAATAGATCACTTAGAACAACTTTGAATTTTAATAAACCATTATGGTAATGTAGACAATGGTACTTAATTACATACCCTCCTTTAGGAAGAAAATAGCAACATTGGTGGGAAAACATATTTCAGTATGTTTGAATCACATTTTAAACAGATGTAACCTGAAGAATAGTTTCTATTTTTCACAATTATTTTGAGTTTTCCAGTCTAAGGGATGACTTTCTACAATGTGTGCAGCATGCTTCTATCTCTTCATTTAACACTTTCACTTTTGTCTCACCACACAATTTCTCAAAACAAGAAAACCTAACAAACAATTCCAAATGAATCAAAACAAACTTACTTTTCCAACATACTGTGGATCTGGTCCCATGTGTTCTTCTAAAACAAAGAACTGGTTCCATACCCATCCCCTCTTGGGACGATGATGGACTTCTGTCTCCCCTTCAGTGTGTTTGGTTTGGTTTCTGGTCACCTTGATGGAACTGTGGTGAGCAGTTCCATAACACCTCTGCACAAAACAGAGACACACAAGGACTGGGCAGATGCAAGATGTGCTCGTAATTTTCATTGTAAGATCACGTCCGGTTCACACTCCTTCTTGTCTTCGTGGCCTACTAGGGCTCAGTGTGCCTTCAAGAGGAAAGCCGGAACATCTTTTGGAAGGACAGTCCAAAGTAGGTCATTTAGTCTGTCCATGATTTAACTGCCCATCAGCAAAGGTCAGACCATATTTACATCGTTATTCATGGCTGGAAAAACAGGGGCAGCCATTACATCCCAAGTTGTGACTGCTGGTAAACACAGCTCATCATTTTCTCCCTGATGGGAAGAGAGAATTTGTACATATTACTAAGCGTGTGGGTTTTAATTACATTTTCTGAATATGTTACATTCATTTTGTTGTTTAAAATTTTACTTTATATTCCAAGCAAAGTTATATTCCTTTAAAGCATGCTGATGATGGGTAAGGATTTGCCTAGAAAACACACTTCTGTGCTTTGCTCTGAAGATATTTTGGCGAGATTTGACTAAGGGATGAATAATTCTGAATGCGGGTCTCCATACACCCTGAGGCAGGATTCTGGACAGAAGAAAAGAAGGAAGAGGATAAAAAGAACTAAGCTCAGATGTACCTCTTTCTGCTTCCTGACTTTGGATACAATGGGAGCACAGAATGCACCCTCCTTTTGCTTGCCTTCACCCATGCAAACCCTAAGTCAAAGCAAATCTTTCCACCCTTCTGTAACTTTTTCTACGGTATTTGGTTTCAGCAATGAGAGAAGTAACCAATGTAATAATAAAATAATGGCAAATGTTTTCAAAACTACATATAAAGTTTGTGCTTGAATGAATTTTACAAGTAATTTCCTACCTTTAATATTCAATATTAATTGCGCATGTACTTATATATATATATAATGCTGTACTTATATCTTTTGGTAGTTACAACAAAATTAATGTATATATTGCACATTAGCACTGCAGGAAAATCTATAACCATTAATTTACTAATAAAATCTGTAAACATTGATTATTGTACACAGATAAATAGGCCTTCATTCCCAAAAGGGGAATTCCTTGCAGCAAAGAGATAACACTACAGAAAAACACAACCATTCAAAATCCAGGGTTATGGAGGACAGTCCCAATGGAAATATTTGCAAAACACTCTCTCACTTAGTACACAGGGATCCTTGTGGGAGACTTGGTGGAAAGACTGTAAGAGCCAGAGATACAGAGTTACTTGGAGAATGTGTCTTCTAGTAACAAAATATACAACAGCCATAAATTCTCACCAACATGACCACCAAAAACTCAACAAGGAAACTACCAACAAAAATGCCATATTCGGTGCCAGAGGTAGAGTTCATAAGGCATCAACCCTACATAGAGAACTAAAGGCACCTCGGTAAGTCTGGGAAGGGAGACAAGGTCCTTTCCAGGACAGATAAAATTGCTGTACAGTGACAAATGGAAAGACCTGAAAATGTACATAAAATATAAGAACTTGTTACATACATGTATATACAAAGTCATATATGCATGTGATAACAATTAATAAAAAGTGTCCTTGATTAAAGGATAGAAGGGTTTGGCGTTAGGTAGTGTTTGCAGTGAGAAAAGCAAAGAGAGAAACCTTGTAGCTAAATTACAATATCAAAAACAGTAACTTTTTAAAAATATACCACATTTTCAATCAGTACTATCACAAAAATCAAACAGGCTTTTAAAGTCCTTAGTCATTAAGAGTAGGATTAGAATAGATGAATCTTACTGGGAAATAGTTGCAGCTGAAAACAATACCAGGCTTGAGAAACAGGTTGACAGAGTCAAGCATGAGTCATAATGCCAACTGGCTAATGCTTGACTTCATATGTATTCTCATATACTTTTCATAATGCTCTAAGTTATTCACTTTTTGTCATGGCAAGACAAATACCCAAGCTGGGGAATTACTTCAATAAAGATTTGATTTTACTACACAATTTTTGCAACTGTATCAAGAAAAGCTTGAAGGACAAACAGAGATTAAACCACCAACAGTAAAATATTTTTACTAGTCCATATAAGAAATATTGAGGATCTCAACTTAGAAAATGTTATAGTTAAAGAAAATGTGAATTTTTTACTTGATTAGAAACATGAAATGTTTTACCTACTTTCTTATTAAATATCCATGAGGCATATAGGCATAAAACATCATATGTAGTTAAATGAATTGCACTGCAGTGGGCATAATGTTATATTTAATTATTTTTAAAACACCCTAAGTCATCATTCATAGCCTGGTTTTTATGTATAGTTGAAAAAAATGACATTATGTAGTTAGGGATGAAAATATTTTAGAGCATCAGTAGTCCTTTTTACCTATCAGGAACTTTTCTGGTGAATTAGAGTTAATGATTATGGCATTTTACTGGTGGCATAAGAATTGTGTAGGAGTGAAATTGGAATTATATTTCAAACATCTGACAAATGTGCTAGTCAAATTTTATGCCGCTTTGGGAAAGCAAAGATAGATACATATTTAACTTATTTTGTTTTAAATTATTCAAAATTTCCTGTAGCTTATAAGAAAAAAGAGTATTATTCTAGGTTCAAAGGTGTACAGGCATTGGAAAGAGCATCAAAATTCACAAAATGTATTATGATTTTTAAAAAATAATTCCCCAATATTTCTATTTGCATAACTTAAAATTTTCAAGTCCCAATAGTCATACCTACTAAAACTTTTGGCTTAAGTAATTGTGTTCAATGTTCATTCTATTTTACTTAATACACATTTGGTGAATATTTGAAATTTGTCATAGATTTTTGTCAACTCATGAATTTAAAGAACATATTTTAGTAACTCCTCTTAGAAGCCAATGTGACAAATACATAGAAGGTGTTATTATCTTAATACTTTCTCACCACTTGGTGTGATTTTCAAAAGAAATTAACATCTTTGCCCTTTATGCTAAGTTATTTAACAAAGCATAATTCATGAGACAATGTGAAGAAAGTGACTTTTGAAATGCATTACAAATATATTGAATGAGTGACTTTCTTTACAATGTTGATCTTGTGTATCATTGCAAAAATACATAAGTGCTCTTTCATCTGTGTGCACGTTATGAAATTTTAAGCTCTTATGGCAGTTATGAAGAGTGATAAATATATTGCTGCAATGAGAGAAACAAACATCGCTATTGTACTTTTGAACATAATTTCATGGCTCAGTTGCTATGCCATAGCCCAACAGTGTCTGTACACATTGAGGCCGCCAGTTGTTCCCCTCCAGTGGCAAAGACATGATCGTTTCTCTGTCTTACCCACATTATTTCCTGCTTCTCTCTAGGCATAGTTCTCAAGGATTCTCATCAATTTTAATAGTAATAAAATATTCTTTCAATAAAACTGTCTTTGTGTTTGAAAAACTAAATCTCTGGTGTGAGTGTGACTGTAATAATATCCCAAAAATATAATATCTAAAGAATAGAATATATACATTGGTATAAAAGTGACCTATTGTTCGTGTTCTGTGTTCTGCCTGAGTTGTCTGACATTGCTTGCAGAGTTTCATGTCTGGTACTTGGAATAAATCATTTTTCAGAAAAGGAGTTAATATTACCAGTAACATCAGGAGACCTGGATTATAATGTTCATCTTAAAGAATAATATGCAATTGCTATCGATACTTTTTTTCTGAGATTGGTATTTCTTGTTTACACTCCAAATATCATGTCTTGTACATAAGACCTTTGACTTGAACTACTTTTTAATTTAAATTTATCAATCTTAGACTTTAAAAAAGCCTGGAGAGAATTTTATGTTTTTAAAAATTATTTCTTCAAGCACAAAGGTATAGCCAAGGCTAGTCTTGAATTCATGGTCCTTCTGACCTTGCTTCCTCGGTTTATAAGACCAGTGTGTAACTTCACAAATGGCAACCAAAGATAGGATATGGCATTGAGCAAATATTTCTCAAAAGAAGAAATATAAATGAATAAAAATAGTTTTAAAGGTATTCAGCATCCGTAGCTATTAGGAAATAAAAATTCAAACAGTCAGAACTCCAAACATTAGGAAAACAAATGACAACATATTCTGGTAGTGCTGTGGAGGAAAGGGCCCATGCACTTGTGCTGAGGTGATAAATGGTGCAGCTCTGGTGGAAATCAATGTGGTGTTTTCACAAATACTCTATTTAGACATATCATATGAGCTACTGAGCCACTCCATTTCCCACTACAGAGACGCGTGCCCCTTTATGATCATCATATCTACTTATGGTGGCTATGCATGGTAACAGTCTCTATTTCCATTAGCTGATTACGAAAATGAAAAGGTGGTCCCCAAGCACCTTGCAATTTTATTTAGCTGCAAACCTATATGAAATTTGCAAGCAAGTACATAGAAGTAGGGAAATATGTATTGTTTGATGTTCAGAAATACAAATGTTAAATGTTCTAGCTTACATTTGTATCTTTAGACAGACTGTTTAGCTTGTGTGTTTATCGTAGACTCCATGGCAAAAGAAGCCAGGAAACGAGGAAGAGGCTAATTTGGGGGGAACTTAAATGGGGTGGATTCATAGAGAATAAGTGACAGGAAAGGGAAACATAGGGATAATGAAGAGGGAGGTTTAAATGGTGAGAGGAGTGGGAGGAGATTGTAGGACACAGAAGTTGTAAGGTGAGAAGTAGCTAGTACGAGGGATGTTTGAAAAAAAGCAAAAGAAAACTTGCTATTATGTCCTATGTAAGTCTACTGGAGTTATACTACAGAGAAGATAATAATGCTCCCCCAGAAGCTATGGGTTGTTAAATATAAAGGCCAGTGTCAGGTATTGGATACCTTCACTGGGTCGTTGGCCAGGGCCATTCTAGAGATTACTACTAAAGATACTACTAAAGGTAATAGAGAATGGAGAAATCAAGTTGGTACCAACTGACAAATTTCTTCTCTCCCATCTAGATTTCATGGTACTGGGAGGTGCTACTGGGTTGCTGAGGGTGAGCGTGCTAGAGACATTATACATTGCAATTACCCGAAGTTGTGCTTACTTACAAAACACATCCCATAGGAAAAGTTTCAATGTGTTTACTGACTGTATATATGTAAATATGCATCCATTCTGAAGAGTTCTAATTTACAATAAACAATGTTCTCAAGATCTTGAAGATGTAAGACTATCTTGGAATAGTTAAATTTAAATTTCAAAGTAGATATCAGACCTAGACTGGAATGGTCATGTGAAGTAGCATTCTTCAGTTCAGCCTGTCTGATGAACATGCTTCCTTTTTGATAATCACACATTCTAAAAAGAGAACAAC